ATCATCTATTTTCTATTATCTATCATCCGTCTCTCTACATCGAATCATGGCAGTGATTGTCACCTGGATGCTTTTGACCCTAGAGAACACTTGGGAACGTGTGCAGTCATTTGTGGTTGTTATGATTAGGTGGGCTGCACTGCTGCATGCAGCGGGTGGAGCCCAGGGGATCTGCTAAACCATGTGCAGTGCACAGGACCGCACCACCGTGATCCTCTAGCCCCAAATATCCACAGTGAAGAGTCTGAGAAAGCCGGGCCATAGGCTAAAGAAACCACTAGTGTAATTTGAAGTTTTCCATATCCTTGCTAAAGCACAGGAAAGCTCTGTTTAGTTTGTTTTTTTAAATTTAGGGTGTGCATTAAAAACTTCACAAGGAAATAGAAGCCCAAGCTTTTGCTCTGTTGGGAGACACTTGGTGATGCCTGCTGACGCTTTTGGTCATCGCCATTGTGTGGAGGTGCTCCAGGTGGCAGGTGGGTGCAGCCCAGGGATGCTGCTCAGCACCCTGCAGCGCACAGGATGACACCACAGCAAAGACCTCAAGCCCTTAAGACTGGGACTCCAAGGTGAAGCTGGATGTTACCCAACTTTTGCTCTGGATAAGATGTCCGGGGTGCGTGATGTGTGTTAAGGAGCTCAGAGGCTTCTGCTCTGCATGGGGAGAAAAGTGTGTTCACCAGGCAGTGGAGATGAGAGCTGCTAGAGGGAGGCGGGAGGCAGCCCCCTGCCTGTGTACCCTGCCAGTGAGCTGCTTCACAGCAGAGAGCACCTATCTTGAGGATGCCAGCCTGGGGTGGTGTTCACTGAGTTTCACCTGCCACTCTTCTCTGGGAATACCTGGAAACATAAGGTGAAGATGCCGTGGGAAGGTTGAGGAAGGGGCAGCATTCCTGTGTCTTTCCTTAGGGCCTAGAAGGGGCTCTGCTTGGCGCAGTCCCAAGTTGCTCACACCCAGAAGGTGCTCTTTTGTTACTCAGCAGGGTTTCTCAGTGGGGATGATTTTACCCTCAGGGGTCATTGGGCAAGGTCTGGAGATCTTCCTGGTTGTGACAACTGGGAGGGGGTGGGAGCTCCTGGCATCTGGTGGGTGGAGCCCAGGGATGCTGCTCAACACCCTACAGTGCACAGGATGGGTCCACCACAGAGACTGAGCTATAGTTTACTTATCATCTCTATCAATCTATCATCTCTCTATCATCTCCATCTATCTCTCATGTATTTCTCTATCGCTCTATCATCTTTATCTATTATCTATCTTCCTATCATCTATCTTCTTATCTATCTCCATCTACGTACTGTCTATTATCTATCTATCACCTATTCATCTATCACCTATCTCTCCATCCTATCATCCATCCGTCCACCCTATCTCATCTGTCTGTCATCTATCTGTGTATCATCTATCATGTATCTACTGACCTATTTCTCTATCCATCAACTATCTATTTATTTATCATCTATCTAAACAGTGGCTCACAGCCTAAGAATCATTCTGCCCTTGCCCCCACCAGGGAACACTTTGCCATGTTTGAGGTCAGTTTTCATTTTCACTACTGGGAAAGTGTTCTGCTCAACGCCCTACAGTGCACAGGACGGGCCCACCACAGAGAGTCCAGCCCCGATGCCACAAACGCCTTGGTGAAAAACCCCAGAAGTAACTTCCACCTAACCCTGGGAAAGGGATCAGGTTGACAGTCACGTCATTCTCAACAGTCCAGGAGGCAGGAGCTATCTGAGTCCTTTGTCAATGCATCTCTTGTTAGAACACTGGTAAGGTCCTTTCCCATAGGATGGCTCCCTTACCCAGCGCAAGAGCACAGCACTCCACATGTTTTCACTCATAAGTGGGAGCTGAATAATATGTCCACATGGACATAGAGAGTGGATTAATAGACATTGGAGATTCAGAAAGGTGAGAGTGGGAGGATGGGGGGGAATGAGCACTTACTTAAAGGTACCATGTACACTATTCAGGTGATGGTTCTGCTGAAAGCCCAGACTTCACCACAACTCAGTATATCTATGTAACAAAATTGCACTTGTACCCCATACATTTATACAAATAAAGTAAATCAATCAATAAAATTTGATATGTAAACCTGTTTAATACAAATGCAGAAAAAAACATGTTGTAATAACATGTAAAAAAATAAATAAATGTGCCTTCTTGAGGCTTACTACGTCCTGCAGATATCTTACAAAGCCCCAGTAGTCATGAGTGAAATTCTTGCATGCAGCCTGCGGGAGGTCAGAGATAGCCTCCACTGTTTATTAACAGCTCTGGGGCCATCTGTGAAGTAGAACTAAAAACACCACCAATACCTGTCCCCAAGGCTGAGTTGATGGAGGGGCAGCCCTCAGCACAGTGCCTGGTACCCACAGACCGTTGATCATCCTAGGTATTAATCTAAATCAGGAAGGCCTGGCTGTAGCTCGCATTGATCGCCATTGACAGTTACGGCAAGAATCTGGGTTCCTTTGCTGTCTCTTTCTGATGGTCACATGAAGGCTCTTCTTCTCCAAGTAAGTTCAGTCATTCAATTCATGCACTCATACATGCATGCATTCACACATTCATTCACTCATTCAACTCATACAGGCAATGTATTCACACATTTACGTTTTCATTCACTTAATTCACGTGCGCACGCATGCATGCATTCACGCTTTCACTTATTCATTCATTCATTCATCCATGAACTTGTCCATGCATTCAATTTATTCACTCATACATAATACATTAATTCATGACAGGTATGCAATCTTCAGTCATTCAGTCATGTGTATGTGCATTAACACACATGCTGGTTTGTTCAGCTCACTCACATACTCATACATCCACATATTCACTTGTCATGTACCCTGTTCATTCACTCACACACATTCATTCCTTTATAAATGCATGCCTTCACGTGCTCATTCAATCCTGCATGCATGAGTTCACTCACTCACTCATGCAGGCACGCATGAATTCACTTGTTCACTCCCTCATACATGCACTTGTACATGCATGAATTTACTTAAGTCATCCATGGACTTAGTCACGCATGAATTCACTCATTCACTCACTCACTCATACACCTGACTCACGCAGGCGTGCATTCACTCGTTCACCCACTCACTCATACACCTGACTCACGCAGGCGTGCATTCACTTATTCACTCACTCACTCATACACCTGACTCACGCAGGCGTGCATTCACTCATTCACTCACTCATACACCTGACTCACGCAGGCGTGCACTCACTCGTTCACTCACTCACTCATGCACCTGACTCACGCAGGCGTGCATTCACTCGTTCACTCACTCACTCATACACCTGACTCACGCAGGCGTGCA